ATCCACTAGGTGTCACTGATGTGCTACAAAGCGTGGGAACGTCTACTCAGAGTGCAAGTGCTTAATGGTATTATAATCATATTAATACTGAATTGTAAATATATATTTGCAATTCAGTATTAATATGATTAAAATACCATTAACCAGTTTCACTTCAGTTGAAATGTCTTTGCATCTGACTAGATATGTGTAATCTAAGATTAATCTAAGATTAAAATGTGATGCGAGGTGTCTCCTATTAATTCTGACAGTTGCTCTGTTCGAATTCATGGAATGCGTGCTCAGAAGGCCAGATTCGAAGGACGATTATATCATAGCGCGGCGCCGACGTCTGGTCGGATTCCAAGACTCCTTGTTATGCGACCTGCAAATGCGTCCTTCCTTTTGCCTGATTTCAAGGATGGGTCCGATGTATCCTCACTATCCTTGGATATCCCAGGATTCATTGAGAGTCCAAGCAAGCTGGCTGCTCCGTGATCAGAGGAAAGGTTACTTGGCAGCGAACAGTGCTGAATATTGGAGGGTCAGTTTAATAGAATACAAGTATGTGAATAACTCTGTATGAACTGAATGAAAATAGTTGTTTTAATGATTAGTGAGTCAGATATGTGGCGGTTAATGTTTGATTTATCTAAAGGTTTTTATCTGTTACTGTGTAAAGGGGTTTGGCTGTAATTTAATGACAAATTCTAATACATCTGCAGAGTGGGGACTATTAATTTGATAAGATTTTTATTTTTTTATTGCTGTTTTGCACAACTTGCTTAACCAAGTAAGTTTTGTTGTTGAATATTAGAGATTTTGCAGATATATTTTTTATACATACATTGTTTAGATCTACTTTTTAGAATAGATAATCTCTTTATTGTCCCACGATGGGTATGTTTACAGCAGCAAAACGGTCCCACAAATGTGGAATTTAAAAAATGGGTAAGAATAACATAATAGTGAAGAAGTAAATATAAACAAAAAATACTGTAAAGTGTTTTAACAATATTAAAATGTGCACCTGGAGAATAAATAACCAATATACAGCTATGGACATTTTACAGTAATGGATATTTGAAAATAGCAGAATCATCAGAGATGCGCAAAATGACAGCAGCAGGTTATTAAACAGACTAAGGTTTATATCATTACATCTGATTTTATTTGTTCATGATCCCAGTGGTTGGAACCTTTATTCCACTCTGTATTCTCATAAGTGTAGTCTTTGTTCACTTTACAATAATAATAAAAAAAATAATAAAAAAGTTTTGAAAAGTTTTCTATTCGTTGCTAGCCGCCAAAGCCTATGGCGGTAAAAGCTGCTGAAGGGTAAACCTGTTTGAATTCAAAGCCAAAACTCTCCCGGTCTCCTTGTTTTCAAGGACTTCAAATGATCCAGTCCAGGTAGACCGGGTGCTTGGAAGACGCAGCCCATGAATTCGAAAACAGCCAACAGCTGTCTGAACTATNTTTTCAAGGACTTCAAATGATCCAGTCCAGGTAGACCGGGTGCTTGGAAGACGCAGCCCATGAATTCGAAAACAGCCAACAGCTGTCTGAACTATGGTCTGACCCAAGATGGCGCGGGCGTCCACGTATCTGTCCATGGTACAAAGTCTTTTGGCAGTTGTAGTATTAAGAAACGTTTGTTGCCTAGCGACCAGATGCAATCCACTGTTGCTTTGCAATTACATTAAAGCAAATCATTGGGTTAAAAACGTTTTTATCCAGCAAAACAACGGACAGTGGCCTGCACTTTAATCTAATAATTATTTTCCATTTTTAATCATTTTAAATTATTCATTTGTTGTAGTATATAGTAACTATGGCTAACAAATTACACCACATACTTCATTTGCAAGGTTTTCCTTTTTAAAATAAATTTTATATTTAATGTGTTTATTTTTTTAGCCATCACTCTTACCTCCCGTATGGCTGCTATCGTGTTCTCCGGTGCATCGTGTCCCCCGCCGCGGTGAGCGACCACGGACACCTTCCCCACTAGTGGGTGCAGCACCTTCTGCGCCCGACTGGTCGCCACCTGAGGGAACCTAAACATGGCTAGAAAGAGATAGAGGGAGGCGGTGAGGGCAGTGGACCACATGGGGCTCCGGGTTCCCACCAGGACCAGCACGAATACCAGCGAGTAGAGGGTGACTTCATCTCCAAACTGAAGCATTCTGGTTCTCCTTTTTTTTTCTCCTGTCTTTCGAGTCGAAAAGCCGAAACTACCTTCACACTGCACACAGTTACTGACCTAAAGGGGTAATTTCCTTAAAAAATTGTGTCGACACATACATCTACTATATCTACACGTTATTTTATTTTGGGAATTTTCATTTGAAGACTTACAAAAACAAAACAGCCCACGGCCAGTCAGCTGGTAGGACATTTAACCGGGTTGACGGACAGGGGGAACGCTTTTTATGTTGCACATAGCAGCGAAAGTGTCCGAATAAAGGTTCCGGGTTACTGCTTTAACCTCAAAGTTATGCATTTATGACAAAATAAAAGTAGTAATAAAGGTAAAAAGTCAAATGGAGTTTGTGATTTAATTAATTAGGTATTTTTAAAATAATGCATTTGAAAAAGAATTGACGGTTTGCCCTTTAACTTCATCCGGGTCGATGTATCGGCTCCCTTCGTAGGAAGTTCACTAGTTAAACACAAGACGACTCTGATCACGTTGCCTTTTACTATTTTTTTCTTAATTCTTTTATTAAAAAGAACAGCCATCATGGTGAGTAATTCACATTATTTAAATTGTTAACTAAGTGTGAAAAAATAGGCAAAGTCCTGTTTATATGCTAGCTACAGCTTTCCTCCTCACTAGCATCAGTTAATCAGGGCTGTCAACTCTCACCCACTGGGAGTGAGATTCACCCATCTCTGTGTCTTCACACTCTCCATCCATATTCAAATTTAACAGACATTAAAACTCAACTCCATTCCACTTATTTATGTGTTCTATAGTACT